CAGTTTTCCAGCCAGTGGATCGTGGAGGACCCAAGGTGACAATTGGCCAGTTTCTCCAAGAGGCGATCATGGGAAACCAGATCGAAGGCTTTTTTGAAGTCAAGATACATGACATCAATTTCTTCTCCCTTGTCCAGGTGATAGGTCACCTGGTCGTAGAAGGAAATGAGATTGGTCAAGCAAGACCTACCCGCAACAAACCTGTGCTGGCTATCCCTTAAGATGTTGGCGTCGGCGAGTCCATTAAGGATGGCCTCTTTGATAAACTTTTCTAAGATCTTCCCCAGGATAGAAGTCAGGCTAATGGGCCTATAGTTAGCTGGATCTACTTTCCTCCCTTTCTTGAAGATAGTCACCACATTGGCCTTCTTCCAGTCTTCGGGCACTACACCAGAGCGCCAAGAGTTTTCAAAGATCCTGGGTTGCCCAACAGCTCTAGGCACATGTGGATGCCATTGGCTTCTTGGACGTGTCAGTCTAGTTTTCAAACTAGATATAGCGCACAGACTGTACTCATGGCCTTGGTCAATGATCTTTGTCTGGAGATTGATCTATGCCTTTGTAACCTTGAGTTTAGACTATTGCAGTGTACACTGCATAAAGCTGCCCTTGAAGACCATCCAGAAGCTGCAGATGGTTCAGAATGTGGTGGTCTACCATGGGCATGGGCCACCAGAAGCACCAAACTTCAATGCTCCAGAGTTCACACTGGCTCCCATTGCTTTCCAGATCCAATTCAGCACCCTGAATTGTGACCCTAAATGTTGTGGTCCCTACGTACCCAAAGAACTGCCTTCTCCCTCATGTCCCATTGTGATCCTTAAGATCAGCCAAAAGCAGCCTCTGGCAAGTAGGTTAATACACCTGCATGTAGATTAATAAGCCAAGTCTACTTGGTGAATACATGTGGCACTCATTCTCAGCAGATGCTTCTGGAGTGCTCTCCCCCTTGAGGCCCGCTAGAGCCTGAGCCTGAACATCTTCCAGAAGCACTATAAGACCTTCCTATTTGGGCATGCATTTAGCAATGAAACCAGGCTAAAACATGGTTTAGAGCAGGGATGGTCAACTTGCTGCACATGTGCTACCTGCAACATGTAACATGGGCAGCCTCTGTGTGGCACACAGCAGGTTGGGCTGAGGGCAGGCAGCACAGTGGCAGATAGGGCAGGGAACAGAAAGTAGAGCATGAGATTAGACAGGGAGCACAGGGCAGGAAGCAGAAAGTGGAGCAGCAGCTTGGTGAGGGAGTAGAAAACTGAGCAGCAGATCGGGTAAGGCTCCTACCCTGGGGGGTCTTTAAAAGGAGACTGGATGAACACCTGGCTGGGGTCATTTGACCTCGGTACTCTTCCCTGCCACGGCAGGGGGTCGGACTTGATGATCTGCTCGTGTCCCTTCCAACCTTGCCAACTATGAAACTATAAGTGCCATGCTGGGTCAGACCAACAGTCCACCTAGCCCAGTAACCTGTCTCCGACACTGGCAGAAGTGTATGCTATACAAGGAGAGCATTGAACTGGATATCTCTAGAGTTATCTATCTACTATTCAATACCCGCATCTACCATTTATTGGTTTTGAGATACTAGAGGAAACATCTCCAAGATTAACAGATGTATCATCTATGAATTTGTCCAGTCTCTTTTTGAACCTGGCTTTGCCATCTGCCTCCACCAGCTCCTGTGGTAATGAGTTCCACAAATTAACAACATGTTGTTTAAAAAAGTACTTTCTCTTGTTAGTTGTAAACCTATCGCCTACTAACTTTATTGGGAATCCCTTAAGGTAAGGGAAAGGGATCAGGGTGGTACTCTGAAGGGTATGGGGCTAATTTGTGGCACACCTGCCAAAAAAGTTGGCCCCCACTGGTTTAGGGATCTCTGCTTTAGGTTTATATTCTAGTCCCCTTCTGAGTTGTTTTGTGATTGTCCTGTTAAAGGTTTCTGTTTCTTTTATTGTAAGCCACCCAAAACCTTGTTGGGAAGGGCAGCATATAAATCAAATAAATAAGGAAATGTTAAAGGCTTGTTAAAGAAATATATTTAAACCTGTCTATTACAGATTTACAATCTATATAGGTTAGAGAGGGCAACATTTAGGACTAAAGGAAATGACTGAAGCCCATATAATGTCCCTTATTTTTCAACCACAATATTTTCTTTATTCTCTCTCTCTCTCTCTCTCTCTCTCACAGAGAGATTCCTTCATACAACTTGTAATTTGTATTTTCTTTCTGCTGAATAAATAAAAAGTATGTTAATTTTGGATTGTATAATTTAACTGAAATACCTTTAGAGTGGGCTGAAATGACTCTAATTCCTTTTTTCCTTCTAGTGTACTCTTTAAGGTTTCCTGGAAGAGAATCTCGTGTGAAAGATCCTTGTGCACAAGACATGACAACTCTAGTTAGTGATATTGTTAGTAGTTTGTTAAAAGAGCTGCAAGAAAAACCTTTTGCATTTTTTGGTCACAGGTAAAAAAACAAAACAACAACAACAAAACTTAAATTATTCTGGTGAAGGGGGTTAGAATTCATAACCTGTAGTTAGTCAATGACTTGTGTTGGCTTCTGACAGCTCTTGGAATGCTTTTGTCAAAACAAATTGCTGCAAAGGCTGATGTGTAGCCTACTGTTGATACTAAAGGCCAGCCTTAGGTATTACCTAGACTCCAACCTCCCTTTTCAGAAAAGATTTGGTGGCTACATTACTATAGTAATATCTGCATAGAAGGAAGTTTATTACTGGCAGTTTTGGGTGATGGCATAACAGGTGGTGTCAGTCACTGATATGAGATGATCTGATGTGCCAACAGAAACATCTATCAACTACTTTTGAAACCATCAATCAGTTTCATTTACAGAGGTTACGTGATTGTATATTTACCCAATTTCCATTCCATATGGATTCTGGCAGTGATCAGTTGTCATCTGGTTGTTCAGTGTGTAAAGGGAGAATTGTTATAATGGACACAGTGGAATATCTGTGGTATAAACAAGGTCTACATTACTGTCTCCCCAACTGAGCAATTCCCTTGTTGCTTAGCTGAGTTTGCTGTGGACCAGATGCTCAGCTGGTATAAATCAACATAGTTATGTGGATGCAGAATATATTCAGTCAACTATTTGTTTTTTAGAATGCTCTCTTCACTGTACCAGAGTATCATAGTGACACTGCTGGAGGGGGGAGTTGCACCTTTGGAGACCTGCTTAGTGATGGGCCGTGATTCACCTATATAAAGTACTTGCACAATACCCGTTTGAGAGCATCACAATTTTTAATGTGTTTAGTCTATTAATTAGGAAAGTGCAACCATTTTACAGAACAACAAAAGGCCAGATTTTTAAAGGTATTTGAGTGCTTAGAGATGCAGATTACTGCCTGGTATGGTTTCCAAAAATGCCTGGGCACCTGAGTCTCACTTATATAAACAGTTAGATTCCCTAAGCACTTTTAAAAATCCACTTACGCAGACCTACCAGCATCTTTAGGTCTCACTAAAAAGCTGGCCTTATGGTACCTAATCAAGGTTGGATAGGAAATTTGTGCCACAGAAGGGACTCTACTCCGTTTATCCCAAATCTTGTTGGTGTCCTAATGATTACTGTTGTGATCATTATTTTTATAGTGTTAGATTATAAATGTGTTTATTTCTTATTGCTCCTTACACTAATCCTGCCAATCGTGAGCAAATATGGACAGCATTTGGTCTCAAATACTAATTTTCCTTTATACAACAAAATAGGAAAAGTGGTGAAGAAAATGGAAGCATCTAAGGTGTGATTTAGAAACCTAGGCACAATTTTATTTAACTTCTAAATGTGAATTACCTAATATAACCACTCTGTTGTTTTCATAACAACTTGTTTTTAATATACCAGTGTACAATATATAGTTTCAAAAAATGCTTCCTGAGATGTAATTCCTATAGTAACATTGAGATTCAAATTGTTTAAATTTGTTGGTGTTTTCCCCCCCACCCATATGCTTTTGATAATATTAATTTAATATCTCTTTTTCATGCAGTTTTGGATCTTATGTTAGTTTTGCAACTGCAGTACACTTAAAAGAGAAGTATGGTCTACAACCAGTACATCTTTTCATGTCAGGAGCATATGCACCACATGTAAGTGACATGAATTTTGATAATGTGAAATAAAATAACATATTTACTATATAATAATCATGTATAAAACATTTGTTTGTGCTTTCCAGAGCACATATGCTAATATTGACAACGTGGGCTTATTACAGTTTATAGAATACAGATAACCATTGGATCTGATGACTTATTTAAAAATGTTCCATTATCAGTGGGGAGCTTAAGTTGAGGCTGATAGAACGTCTCGTATTATCCTTTATGGTCTCTGGCTTACAGTTTAAACAGGAAACCAGGCAAAATTACAAGTGCCTCCCTGATTCCCCACGTAAATGTGCATCATGTAAGATAACCATTTTAACCTTCAGCGCACCCTTCAAGCCAGGGGTGGGCAATTATTTTGAGTGGAGGGCTGTTTACCCAGTTTTGGCAAGTCATTGAGGGCCACAGGGGTAACCTTGCCCCTTGACAAATGCCCACCCCCTGGTCGCCATCTTGGGACCAGAAGTCCCTCCCCTTGCCCCCTAGAATTACTCCTTTCAGCAAGGGGTTTTGCCATCTCTGAACCAGAAAAATACCAAATTATATTCTAAAAATTAAACATACTACAACATTCATTCATTTCATTTCAAAAAATATTTTTGTCTTGATCTACTGCAACCCGGACTGCAGGCTTCCATGGCACCATAAGCTGCGACATGCTGTGCTGCCCTGCCCTTCCCTCCCCATCTAGGGTAGGGGCAGGAAGGGGAAGCTAGACGTTGGGGCATCTGGAGCCATGGACTGCTGCTGCAGTTGAAGCAATGCTTGGAACAAGGCTGGCAGGGACCCTGGGGGCAGCCCTGCTCTAAAGAAATGTGGGGGCAACCCCTTACTCCCTACAGGTGTTTACAGACATGTTCCAGGGGAGGGGGGAAGAGGGTACTTTAATAAGAGCGGCTCTCTCCCCTTCCTGCCCCTACCCAGGTCTGAGAGCTGCTCTAATTAAAGCACCCAGAGCATCACATGTATCAGGGCCCCTGCACTGAAAAATGATGGCTAGGGTGCTTTAGTTTAAGCTCAATGAACGAGCTTTAGTTAAAGTGCCCCCGCTGCCATTTTTCAGTGTAGGGATGCTGATGCACATGACTGTGGAGTCTGCTGGAGCGTGGTAATTACCATGCTCCAGCAGACTCGATTAATTGAGTTGATTAATCGTCTGCTTCAACACGCTGTAATATCAGAGCAGCCTCCCTGCGCGCGCGCGCGTGTGTGTATGTATACGTGTGTGTGTGTATGTGTGTGTGTGTATGTATGTATGTATGTATATGTATGTATGTGTATATATATGTATATAGACACCCTACAAGTCTCTTACCTATATAAAAATATTTTTGAAGGTATTTTTAAAGCTGACCAGCCATTAAATTATAACTCAGTCATTATGATACTGTGCTATGATGGGACAGAAGCCTATATAGTAGATGCTTGTTAAGTTTCTTTCCTAAGTCTTAACTCTTCAGGAAAAAGTACTCTTTGACACTCCTAACCTGTTTTATCTGATGCCTGCAGTCAAAAAGTCGTCCTTCTGTCCCACCTTTAAAGGATGTATCTGATGAGGAACTTTTTTCATGGATAAATTCTCTTGGAGGTGTTCCTCCTGAGTGGCTTCAGAGAGAGGATGCTGTGAAACTCTTGATTCCTCCAGTAAGAACAGATCTTGAAGTTTTCCAGACATTTGTGTAAGTGGTACTGTGTTATATACTCTGAAATTAGGAGTGTTCATTCACATTTAAAAAAAAAAAAAATACTACTTGTATATGAGACTTATCACATCAGATTCTCCTACTTTTTACCCTGAATCTTTGTTCCTAGCATATAAGAGTTTTTGTATAATTACATTCAGCATGTTTTCCTTGGAGTGTCTATAATCCACTCTTTTGAAGTAAAAATAATCTCCATGGGGTGCCTATACACAAGCACAGAGGCTTTTCTGACATGCTGGAATTCTAGTGCATTGAAGCAGACTTGAGTCTGTGGGAGTGTGGCAATTACTGCAGCCTTCCATGTCTCCTGTATTAACATCACTGTGCTTCAAAATGGTGGCAGGGGCATTTTTTTATCTAAAGCTCATTCAATGAGCTTTAAAGTGCCACTGCCACCATTTAGATAGATAGTAATACACAAGATGTTCTGGGTGCTTTAATTAAAGCAGCTCTCAGGCTACTCTAATTAAAATGTTGCCACTCTTC